CTAACCAGAAGGTCGGCAGTTGGAATCCACCAGCCATTCCTTGGACACCCCATGGGGCAGTTTTGCTCTGTCCTATAGGGTCGTCATGAGTCGGAATCAACTCTAAGGCAGCAGTTTAAACAAACAAGCCACTTACCTTCATAAATAAATTCAGAGACAGGCAGCCTAGGGCCGTTATTATGGCTCCTAAAGACCCAGCTCCTCTCTTGCCACTCGGCCACCTTCAGTACATAGCCTCATGTTCCAAAATGGCTGCTCAGGCTCCAACTATTGTTCACATCCAGATAACAGGAAGGAGGGAGAAGGACTTCCTCAGAAGTACTGTATTTGATTGACAGAATTCCATTAAATCGAAAATCCAGGGTTCTAATTCTAAGGAAGAAAGAAATATTGAATATTGACAAGAAGCAATTAACAGACTTGGGCAGGCACTATTTTACTCTTTTTGTTACTAAAATATATTCTGCCACCTTATTTTAGGAAAACACCCCTTATTTGATGCTAAAAGGCATCCTGGGATGGGGAAGACACCTCAGCAGGCTATGTACTGTCTAACCTCAGGTTTTGATCCTGAAGGGAAATTTCCAGGATGGTACAGGGGTTAGGGTCCCTTGACTGTTTCCTTCATGAAACTGTGGGGAGAATCAGTGCAACAGATTGGCTTATTTGGTTTATCACTGTTTGATGGTTTAAAACTGGCAATTTATATTAGTACCAACCAAAGGATGCTTATAACTAAAGCATTTTATTAATGGTTTAATGGAGGAATAGTCTTAGAATTAAAAGAAATAATGAATACCATAGATTAATTGAAATTCAGTCCTCTTACAGCATATTATCAGTTTTGGGGATTCCTTTTTTTTTTTTGCCCAAATAGATTCATGTAATGCTATTAACTGTTAGGGAAGAGGTGATACTCCATTTCTGGAATATGCAGTGAAATCTTGAGTAGTTTAATAGCCAGGCTTTACTTTCATAATAACAAATTGAGAGTTTTAAAATTGCAATTATAATTTGTTTAATTAGGCAAAACTACAACCGAAAAAACCAAACCTGTTGCCATCAAGTCAATTGCGACCCATGGTGACCCTACAGAACAGAGTAGAACTGCCCCATAGAGTTTCCGGTGGATTCGAACTGCCAGCCTTTTGATTAGCAGCCGTAGCTCTTAACCACTACACCACCAGTGTTTCCTAGGCAAAACTAGGTTAATTTTCTACTTGTATTATCCCCCCCCTCAAGTATATTGATAAGGAACTACTGATAAGTAGTGGGAAGACGTTTTTATTTAGGATTAATAATTATATGATCCCTTCTTTTAGAGAATCAGATTTAGTTTATTTTGGTAGAGTCACAGGTTTGGAATTGGGCTTATTCCAAAATAAGCCCTCATTTGGGGATGTCAGATTCTTAAGTTAAACCAGATTGCTTGTATCTGTTTTAGATAAAATTGCTGTATCAGTTTCTCCCCACTGGATGTCATCTTTCCCACATATTTCATATTCCACAACCACAAAATATGAGTGTGAAATACAAAATAATGCAATGCAAAAATTGCTCGTTATATGTCAGAATCAAAGAATAATTTTTTATGTACTTATCCAACACATATTTACTGAGTCCTCCTTATGTGCCAGGGACTGTTTTAGGCATCGGGATCAAAACAGTTAATAAAGTCCCGGCTCTTGTGACACATTTTAGAGAGTGTGTGTGTGTTGTGTGTATGTGCGCACGTATGCATGCGCTGGATCGCACACTGGGGGGTGGTAAATAAATAATTTTTAAAAAATAGAGTGCAATAGGGATTGATAAATGTGAAAAGGAATACACGAAAGGAAAAGAGAGCAGAGAATGCTAGTGGGCAGGGCGTGTTGCTATATGGATAGGCAGTTTAGGGAATGCCTCTTGGACTGTGACATTGGAGCAGAGATTTGAAGAGGTACGGGAGTGAGCTGTGCAGCCATCTGGGAGAAGTGTTCCAGGGGTTGGGAAAGCATATTCCTAGAGCCTAAGGCGGGGTGGGTTTAGTGTGTCTAGGGATTAGCAAGGAGGCCAGTGTGGCTGGTGAGGAAAGTGTGAGGGGAGAGTGACAGGAGATGAGTGAGATTGTGTAGGGCTTTGCAGGCCACAGTAAAGACAGTGTATTGTATCAAGTAAGAAGGGAAGCCATTGGGAGATCTGAGCAGAAGATTGGTATGATCTGCCTCATGTTTTCAAAGGCTCATTGTGGCTGTCAGGGTGCGAGATTGCAATCAGGGAGACCAATTTAGAGACTTATTACAGTAGTTCAGACTAGAGATGACGACCACTCAGAATTAGGATGGTGAAAGGAGAAGTGGTGAGTGCTGGTTAGTCTGCATAGATTTGGATGTAAAGTCGGTAGGATTTGCTAATAGATAGGACACGGCCTGTGGGAGAAAGAGAGGAGTGAAAGATGTGAAGGTTCTGAAAAAAAATGTGTGCCTTGACAATACAAAAGTAAGCAATGTGTTACTGACGTAATATATATCAAATGGCGGTTATTAGCTGATGATTTGTGAGTCTTAAAGGAAGTTTGAGAAGCAACAGAATGCCATGCCTGCAAAAAGGAAGTGTGTTTTTGCTTGTGTGTGTTAGATAAAATTACATTTGGATCGTGAACTTTTTTGATTTAGACTAATATTTAATATCGCATTATAGCATTCATTACAATTAAGGATATACTTTAGCAGTATATATTGAGAATGTCTTTAAAAATGCATTTAAAGACTTCCTGGTTACTATTTTTATACTTTTAAAAAGTAATCATCAGTGCTCTCACAAAACACCAGATGGCGCTAGAAAACAAGTCACATTTACACTAACAGGACTCTC